GGGCTCATTCAACTGTATCTGAACATCAATGGAGCGTCAACAGTTAAAATTACTCACAACTTCGCAAACACTCCGGATTTAAATGTTTGGTATGCAAAGGATACCAAACGTTTGTATGAGGGGTCATTGGACGATCGAGATGATGACGTCAGAGTTCCCAATGTAGTTCAGTCTGCTAATGCGAATTGGGGTTTTCACTAGTTAGTATCCAATCTCTTATGTATTTTCTTACCTGTTATTATTACAAAACCAGAAGTACTAACAATCGCTAGTGTTAATTTACTATTGGAACAATATTAAGTCATAATATTCGGTACGTTGTAGTTAGTTGTGTGAACTGCCAAAGAATACCATCACTTTTTTATCCTCAGCATGTCGTAAGAGGCAATTAAAGGATGAAAAGGACGACACTAGTGCAAGGAAAGAAAAATAGATTTGCTTATATTTCGGTTCAATGTATGGGTTATTCATGAAATTACATTATATGCACTACGGGGATATGACATCTAGTTCTCGAGACTGGTGATGTAAAATTGCAATGCATCAGGGATATCATGGGTAGCGTATTCTCTATTGTTCATTTAACGGTTCATGTTTATAGTTGATGGTTATAAATTTCCATTACGTGAGCCATGAGCTTGTTTGCCATTACATTTCATTTTTTTATACAACTTAGAATGGCAAACAAGCTGACGGCTCACCTGATGGAAAGTGGTAATCGTCGCCTATAGACATGAGCAGTACCATGGACATAACAGAGTATACTGTTTCGCCCACGATACCCCCCATGAGAACTCAGGTGTTATTCCTCCGTACCCAGTAAATTCACGCCATATCCAACCCTTCAAACCGAAATACAGCCATGCAAACACAACTGCTTTTAAATATTTTACGTATTACGCGAGTGCTCGCATTACAGCCGCTCAAAATTAAGGGTCTCAAATGATCCCAAAACTAATTGAGCTTTCTGGACCAAATTATATTACATTAAAATAAAACGTGTGGTTATCAAACTTTTAATAATAAATAGATATCTTTTACGGAAAGTTCCCAGTGATGATCGATCATGGTTTGCTATAATGATGTGAAATTAAACTCACCAACTTTAATTTGCTCACTAATCTTTATAAGTGATAAAATTAATTATTTATTTATATTATCAACTGATGATCCATTGTATTTAAGATAACAATGAATGATTCAACATAAGTCACCAACCATAGAGATGACGTCAAACTGCCCACTGCAAGTCAATTGATGTAAATTACTGTGCGTTGAATGTTGCTTTACTAAATAAAAAATGTTTTATATTGTGTCTTTGATGACCCTTCTACTGATTCAAAAATATTATAAGACAATAATATGGAAGCTTATTAAATTCAAATAAGTTTTATTTTAACAGACTTGTTGTTTACAAGTACTTATAAACCGTCATTTTTTAAATCTACTGCCGGGTTCAGAAAGTTGTTATATGTTGAAAAGAGTCCACAAGAAACTCAACAGTTACTCTTTTAAATCTCTGTTAACATATACGTATACTATAAGTACACGTATTCAAGTAATGATTATGTCTGAAATAATTATATGGTCATTAAAAAGCCTGTGCATGATTGACTAACACCATTAACGCTTGTTTGTCATTCAAGTAATCGTTAAGAGTTTAATAGGCTTTGTTCAAAAAGTTTTAAATTTATTAAAACTTAGATCCAAAATATTGTTCGGTGTCTTATTATAACGTTTAATGCCCATTCCCAAAAAATTTTTAAAAAATTTCTTAATTATAATGATAAAGAAGTAATTTTTGAAGGTAAAGAAATTACGTACAATATCTCGCAGAGTATTTTTGTTAAATCTAAAAGTCTATTGGTAAAGAATAATCACGTAATATCAAATCTATGTACTTTTGACACCACATTTTATTGAGAAATAAAATTTAAATAAATAAAATGCTCATGGTTGAATAACAGGTGTTCTACATAATGCCAAAAGGGAATAATTGCCTGCAGATAGGAAACATCAGGGGCGTAACACAATATGCTCATGTACCTTTAAAACAGAAGCAGTAATACTCCAGTAAAGTCACGGTAACATACCATCATCAATAAATAGCGTGCAAATAAATGTCACATTGGTAAAAGTATACCCCAATAAGCATAATTAGGTTTATTCACCGTGATGCTCCCAATTCGCCCCATCGCATTTTATTCGGTTTCACTTATTGCCTGCGAAAGAGCAATTTCATTACGGGCCTCATAATGAAATTGGATTTTATATTTATATTATTGTTACACAGAAATGTAACGCTTTCCGGCACCATGGTGTTTCGCATAAATACCACGAACTGACCCATATGCATCTGGGTCACGCGAGTTTTGTTATTAAATTGAACATCCTATCGTTTATAAACTTCATAACAGAGCATGCCGGTATAGAGATGTAAGATATATCTAAAGACATAATTATGGGTAAACCACCATTGTAGTTGTATCAGCCGTAAACTAAACGACTTTCACTGCTGAAACTAAGGGAACTCAACGGCCTAGAGATGGACACAAGTATCCCTCTTAAGACATCATCAAAGTCTAACTGCGGTTGCCAATCCGCCTGCCAAGCGTGGCAACTACAGGCAAAACCATTATTTTAAGGAAGGCTTATGTTCAGCAGTGGACTGTGGACGGTTGATATCAATGAATGAAAAATAGAGAATAAATGTTTACATCAACGTATCAAGAATTTGCATTAAAACCTAAAACTAAACTTTATATTATGGGTTTATCACATTTTAATAAAAATCAGAATTAAAACGTTTAAATTGACGCCGGTAATCCATCAATCGATACGAAAACCAAGCGTGCCAAATTTGTTTCTATTTAGCATGATGCTACCAGATCTATTTTGGCACGGAAGAGGTGTTACTATCAGTTGATAGTAAGCTTTTTTTCTTTGCCAAAACGATTCGAATATAAATTTTATATACGTACAGATGCACGTATATTTTGGTTAATTTTATGTAACATTTAAATTTAGTTAGAGTTTAAATTATTTTCTTAATTGGCGCAAAAAATGAAATCGCAAAATATTTGTGACATCTATTTAAATTTTTGTTCGTTTGTCCAGGTGTTCTATCTATAATTGAGGATGGATTTTTATATGGAGATCGTTTGTTGCGTGTATTTTCTTTTTAATGCATTTAAATAAATTTTCCAGACTTAATAGCGAAATTGGGTAGCTCTAATGAGCTACCCAATTTCGCGGGCTATTAAAATACTAATAATTAAATTTTTTATCAAATAAGATGCTTAAATTGAGAGTTTAAAATCTAATTATAAAAATTTACACTTAATTATGTGAGTGTGTAAATATAAATACATAGTATATGTAAATAAAGCTATGCTCGGTCACATCTGTTCATCCTTAGGTGGATTGAAGTCCTAGGTGAGCAGGTTTTTATTGCTTAACTACTTATTTGGAATATTAGTCTAATAATGAATTACCAATGAAGATTTATGATGATTGACGATCAGGACGTTTAATAAACCTTTATTGATTTCAGATTTATTTTTTCTGTTGTAAAGTATACAATTTGGAATACTGGTCGAGGAAAGGGTGTTTTTATTTTAATTTTTTTAATGTATCTATTATAAACAATCAAATCTTCTCTCTTTATGATATTATTGTAAATAATTTAAATTACTAAAGTACAGTTACTAGATTATTGTTTATTTGTTTCTAGTGTTAACGTGGCATCTCTAATAGCTATTTAAATTACGTTTGGACTACGTAATTCTTCACCAGTACCAACTGCTTGTGTGCATTCATATTCATTCCTCGTATACAATCAATAGCCTGTATACCTTATAATTAGCGGTGATCTCATATCCAATGTAGCATTGTGCACATATCGTCTGCAAGATATTCGTTTTATTATTAAAATATATTATATTCTTTGCATTACTTGACCCTTGTCTGAGATCGTGCAAAATAATTTTGTCTTTCCTTGCATAAGAAGTCGAGAACTCTCCTCTGATTATAATTTGTCCTTTTATCATGGTTGCTGGTGATGATCTTGTGGTAATGTTTTGTATGCGTCTGTAATGTCATCTCTATTCTCTTATACTTTGTCAACTGACTTGTCTTATTTCTGATCTGTCGTTCTAAATTTTTGTATGTAAGTTCAATAATAAGTGAAATAAATATTTCAATGCTGCCTCTTCTCGACTACGTCTTCTGTCTTGTGTTGGTTATAATTTTTTTTTAATTCTTAAGGGTTCTTCAGGATTTATTAGTGTGTGTTAGCAAGTATATAGTTTTTTATTTGAATTACCTATGAAGTATCTTACTAATTAATTTAAAATGTAATGAGACCATGTCTTTGTATGGGAAATAATTAAAAAAATATATGTATAAGATCTTAATAAGACCAATAGTTGTCGAAATAATATTTGTTAGATTTTTTTCCGTCTGACAGTTTTGGTGTGAAAAATAAACAACGTTAAACCTTTTGCACCAAATTGGATGCGGTTTTCGTAGTTGTGTTTCTAAATGTGTGTATGTCTTAATGTAAACCCGGTGTATATTTCGTCTTGATATGCCATCTAGAAGTCATCTATTTAATTGGTTCTTCAACTTTCGAAATCTACGCGTATTAAGTAGCTGATAAAAGGGAGTTATTAATTAATTATAATATTAATAAATAATTAATATAACATTAATTAATCCACGAATGAGAGATATTTTGGTACGTAGAATGATATTGGTTATTAATGCTACTGATATGAAATGATTTTAGCGTATAGTTTAATAAGTTTCGATTTTCTTAGTGGATTATTAGAATTCTTTTTTAATTACTATTGATTAATCCCGCGATTGATCACGATTTCACCAGATGGAAAGCGATGATGTGGTCTAAGATGGAGCTCGTGGGCTCACGAATAGCCTACAATCAATGTGATTACATTTGCCTTGAGTGATTTTTAATAATATGTATATTTTCTTTCCAGGAGAGTCAAGAAGGGAGGGTTCGACAGAGGAGCAGACCGCTCCAGATGCTGATGTCGACACTAGTGATGCAAATACGAAGGAAGCACCTGACAAGGACAATAAGTGAGTAGCTTTTACTCGTGACTTCGCGTAACTGGGATATTTTAACTGACTGAGACAAGTCTATATCCTTCTCCATTCCATATAAAACGGGTATACCTTATTTTAAAGTAAATGGTGAAGCTACTAAAGCACTAAAAGGTAACAAACAAACTCACTTTCACATTTATAATGCTAGTGAGGATAATGAAATGGTAATTCCTTCTGTGCTGTTGGTCAACGTTGGCGGTACACCAGTGTGTGATAACAGGCGAGGATGAATTCAAGACGAATTCACCGAAAAATAACCATGATGATTTCCACGAGGGACTGCATTGAGGTCAAGCCAGGGTATATTGTTAGCAATGGGATACTAGTTCCTGTTAATTTAACTACGTAAATAAGCAGTTGAACCAGCAAATTTGTTAAAAAGTAAACATTTATTGCATACGTGTCGTTATAGTCACGACTTAGAGGATAGGGGTACAGTTTCTTTCTTTCTTTCTTTATTCTTTATTGTACACAAAAGGTTATTAAAATGTAGAAACAAACATAATAGTGCACAAAGGCGAGCTTATCTCCAATAGAGATTTCTTCCAGCAAACCCAATATGAGAAAACTGACAGTTCATTAGTAGTTACAGTCACACATTTGTACCAATCGACTTAAATGTTATAGTTAAAAATAAATTAATAAAAATATATATAAGTAAATACATATAAATGGATAGATATATATTATATATAATACATAAATATAATAAGTACGTACATCAGCATTGTGAGAGGTAATAATTCTTCAGACGCGATTTGAAAATCCCAATGCTTGGGCTATTTCTAATTTCATGAGGAAGTGTGTTCCGTAATCTAATTGCAGCCATAACAAAAGAGTCTGAATACGCTTGACCAGAATGAATCGGAGTTCGCAATAAAGAACGATTAAGAGTCCTAGTATTGCTTTCCGCTAAATACAGTTTTTCAATGAAATTTAAGAAAATCGTAATGGCATATCCATAAACTCTCGTATATATTCTGGGGCGGGCACCAGACAGTTTTGGGGTGGGCACGCCCCTTCCCCTTCCCTTTAAATATCATCATATCAGCCGTTAACTGTACTTTGTTGAACATAGGCGTAAGGGAGATTTGCTAGTAGTTGTCACGCTTGGCAGGCGGGTTGGCAACCGCAGTTAGATTTTGGTGATGAAATAAAATGAAATAGTGCATTTGTCAAGTTTACAAGATGCCCATTATGTTTCGCCACATCAAATGGCATGCAAATATGGTATTTATAATGTTGTCTTAAGAATTGACTATTATATTTCTTTAGTTGCCTCTTACGACACCCATGGGAAAGTTAGGAGTGGCTAATTCTATGCCCGGACCACACGGCTGAAATATGCCTAAATGACTATTTCTGAATTTATTATTAATTCCACTAAACTGAAAAGTTAAGTAGAAAGTTTTAGTGTCAGTTCTCAATATATTGATGTAAATCTATTTTTTTTTATATAACTTAGAAAAACAAGATCAAACTGTATACTTGTTTGCCACGTTTGTGGTATAAAAAAAGGTATAAGAAAAAATTTTTATAACTATTTTATAGCAGTTACTTGGGGAATATTGGTTGATTTTTTTAATGGATGGTAATGAATAATAACTCTGCCTGCACTATTGTTATATGCTGGCGGGAAATTGGTGGTCGTTTGGCCGTTGTCTTTTGTGTTTTTCGAGAAGGGTATGTCAAGAAATTAAAGATATCTCCTTGTAAACTCAACAGCTGGCGTTCAGCGGCACCTGGCGGCCGCGGCGTGAACCGCGCGGAGAGCTGCCGCGAGCGGGATGCGCCGCGCCGCGGGAAGCACCGGAACGCCTCGGATCCGAATCGTCTTACAGCGCACAATAACCAGTAAGTTGTTTTGCTTATTTGCTTTTTTTATACTTATTTGGAAATTATTGTCACTTGCTTCGTGATTCGTAGGGCATATGATCACGTCATAAGCGTTCGTGTACAACAAGCCATAATACTATAACTTATTCGTATAATATATGTATCGTGTAATTTATTTAAATAAAAATTATTTCGAACGTTGCCTACAAGTTTTACACTGAATTAGACTAGGTAATCGACAGATGGCGCCACTCCATTAGCAATAGAGGTTATGGCAAAAAGTTTTACTTGTTGTTTGTTTTAGGGATGTCTAGATGTCGCTGTGTTATGTACGCTAGTTACGTTAATTTGTAAATCAATATAATAAACGTCTGTACATATTTATCCATAACAATTTTCAATATTTTATTTGTACACGATGGCGAAGCACCAGTTTGGGATGGTTGGTGAGAATGGAAAGGCAGGTCAGTTAGCCCATCCCATTCAACTCCCACAAGGTGTATGGGTCTGCATAAAGCATTTTCCAGACGTTTAAACAAAGGTCAGTTAGCCCATCGTGATAAATTCATCTGGAATTCAGCACAATAGTTGCCAGAAGAGACTATACGGAAGTCGACCTGACAAGGTATATTGCTAGCAATGGGACTGGTAATCTCCATTACTTACAATCCCTTTTCCTCACAGTAAGAGTTAGATAAACATACCCAAAGCAACTTACATTAGTAAGTATTTATAATTTTTCCGTGGGTGGTTTGTAGGTAGTTTTAATTATTATAGAATTACATGTTGTTGACTAGTAAAGGTCGATCAGATGCTTGTGAATAAATTCTTCTGTCCACTAGTGGGAAGTATGTACTAGTTGTTTATACACAGCGTATATCAAGACCTCCACATTCCTATACGAAAATAGACGCTTTGACAGATGGACGTTAATACCGGAGCTTTTCATTTTATTTTGAAACTATCGCCAAACTTAATTCAGCGCTAGGCACCAGGCAGACACAGTAACGTCGTATATAAACACGGTACCATGCGAAAATGGACAGTATTCCAGCTCAAAATAAGAACCATTTTGTTTTAATACTAACTTATCGACTGCATTCGAAACAATTACCCCAGCATTCGAATTTCACCGCTATTGACCGTACTCAGAAGGTATATTTGTATATTCTCACGTAAACAATGGAATTCCATTTAAATTTAGAACATGTCGCTTAGGTCTCAAAGTTCAATATCCTGTGATGTTATTGTACCATTTTACGTTGACCCGCGTTCAGATTGGAACGTAAGCTACAATGAGATCTATCTGTAATACAGATTTCTTAGTACCACCAATGTAAATTGACCCGTTGTTTATATGAACCGGTATGTGTACTAAAGGCCTTTAAAGGTGGTCTTTCATTTCATCCATTACAGTTTGTAAAGAGGGTTTCGTTTTTCAGTTTCAAACGGGACTCGATCGCAGACGGTTTGCGGTCTATGTTTTTTTTTTGTAAGAAAACAAATTGTGTATCTAATATTTACGTGGTAGATGCCTAATTTACGTTAATACTCGTATTTATTAACTAGTAACTCACCCTGGCTTTGCACAGGTGCAGTTAATTACTGAATTTATTTACTTTAACAAAAAATTAATTGAGATATACAAGTCATTCGAAAAATATATCTAACATTAGTGGCAGTGAAACTTGTATCTCAAGTCACATGCGTGGTTTAGAAGAAGTAAGCTGACAGACAGACGGACTCAGCGATATTGTCTTATACTGTTTAGAGATTCTATTGTCAAAATATTTTTATTTATTTTGTTGTTTTTCGTTCTATGTTTTTGTAGGAAAAATGTTTGGGTTTTTTTGGTAGATTTTTTTCCTTGGAAAGATGATACTGCCTTCGATTTCACCTATAAATAGGCATACAGAGTGAAAACGAATACATCCTGTTAATATTACAATATGAATGAGAAAGTTTATAAAAATTTATTGATGGGGATATTTGTTACTCTTCCACGCAAAAACTATTGTACGGATTAAATGAAATGCGGTACACTGGTATGTTTTGTTCTAAAACACTTACTGATTTATGATTCATGCGAGTGAGGTCGCGGGATACAGCGTTATAGTTAACGATATTCTCGAAGTTTCTACTCTCTAGTTTAATTTTAATTAAACTAGCCGACTCATTAAACGTTGTATAGCCCCTTACCGCCATCTATCGGGTCGATTTTTTCGAGTCGTAATAAATTTCATATTTTGGAGGCCTTGGAGCAAATAAAAAAAATTAATAACATTATTATAATTATATCATTTATAAAATTTCATTAAAATCGTTTGAGCGGTTTCATAGATATATTAAGATAAGCACATACCATACAGTTGGAAACATTACCCTTCTTTCGTTGATAGTCTGGTAAATGCAGCCCAATGCAGTATAAGCCATGTTGAATTTCAGTGAACAGACAATGTGTGTAAGTACGACAACAATAGGTTAAAACAATGTGTTGTGTAAGGAACCCTATCTTTATTTAATAACAGTGCGTGCTTCATGTTTTCTTTTGTTGTCAACCAACTTGAAAAAGAAGGAGATTGTTTTTTATGTTTGTTACCTCGTAACTCATTTATAAATCGAATACAATCCATTTCTAGTTGAACTTAAATTTCCAAATCGGAATTGGAAATGAAATTTGGATATTTTGCTTGATGTCGGTACAAACATACAGACAGACAACATTTCTAAAAAATATTTATTTTCTCATCTATTAGTAAGGGTCCCCATTTTATTTTTTCTATAATTTCTCCTCGTCTAGTTACAATTTTATTATATTATTATTATTTCAGCCGTTAACTGTCCACTGCTGGACATAAGCCTTCCCCATAAGGAGAGTTTTGACAGTAGTTGCCACGCTTGGCAAGCGGGTTGGCAACCGCAGTTGGGTTTTTAGAAATGTTTTAAGAGGGAGGCTGCTGCTTATCCCTCGCCCTCCCTTAGTTACATTTTTATTATATTAGTAAGATAGAAGGCAAAAGAGGAAGAGGAAGACCGAGGAATAACTACATGGGACAGATAAAAGAAACACTAGGTGTCATGTCGTATAGGGACGTCAAGGATATGGCCTGGGATAGAACTGGCTGGAAGAAGATGCATGAATTGGTTGCACCGACAAGAGGAAACTCTTAAATGAAAAGAGAGTAAGATAGATAAATATAAATGATTTCTTGGACACTTCAAGAGATAAGTTTGAATGCCTTTGATTTCTACCGTGACATACCGCCTGTCCAAACTTTCAGAACGACGGTCAAGTCTCTTCATAAATAATAATAGCCAACTTGAGACATGTTCCACAACAGCGCCATCTAGTTGAAAACTAAGGACAGCTTGTATGGGCACTAGACAATTGACGCACATATAAATGTATATTGGCTGTTAGGTCCCGGCATAGAATAGGCCACCCCTTCCTTTCCCGTGCGTGTCGTAAGAGGCGATTAAAATAGGGCGAGGGGTGGGCAGCAGCGTTTCTCTTAAAACATCTCTAAAAGCCCAACTACGGTTGCTAATTCGCCTTACAAACGTAACGACTACTAGCAAAACCCCCCTAGGGGGAAGCTTATGTTCAGTAGTGGACAGTTAAAGCCCAATATGATGATGATTATAAGATAGTTAAATAGATACGTCATCGTAACCTTCAAGAAAACAGTATATTCCTATATAAAAGGCTGGTAGTACACCTATAATGCTTCTAGTGTTGTGGGTGCTAATGGGCGGCGGTAGTCATTTAACATCAGGTGAGCCGCATGCTCGTTTGCCCCATGTATTATAAGAAAAAATATTGATATACAATTTTTAAGCGACTATTATAAGTTAAAAGAGGAGTTTCTCAACTCGTCTTTAATCTATACATTGGTCCAATAAAGGATATATTAAATTTCAGAGATATATTTAATATTCAGAGAAACTCGATATATATAGGTGTGTGTAAAGTACCCATATTACCTATGCTTGTAAAAAAAGTACACCATAGATAGGTTCTCGTCTGCGCACGCTTTTAGAGTATGTCAATGAAACTACAATTATACGTCGAAATCCCCGAATTCCCGGATATTACACCTCGAATCGGTTTTCAGTATTCCATAACTACCATAACGTGTTTGGCTGAGTGCCAGCAGTCGACTCACTGCTGTGGTGTGTGGTGTAAGGTATAGCCAGAGAGCGGCGTTTGTTGTCCCTTTTTACTCAGCTGCCAAAGAAATATTATCTGTGTGCTAACGGATTAAGAATGTTAATGTTTCACCGCTTCTTTTTGTAAGATACGATTAATGCAGCAAAGCATAAAATCAGAAGATACCAGGAAAAAAGAAGAGAAAATTGAAATATAATTCTGTGCTAAACCGCATGCTCAATGTAGTTTAATTACGACGACAATCGGTTGTTATGGCTGTAACGTTGAAGAATAATGTTTTTCAGACGAATGTTTGCGCAGATCTTTGGTGCATTAGCACGTGTTCTTTAATCTTAATAGGCTTGAAGTTTTATAGAGACTTTATCCTCCAAATTTTTTAAAAAATTGAGGCAAAATTTTTTTCTTTACACAATTCAGTCTTGTTTTTGGTTGACTTTGTTACGTCCAGTAGTTTTTATGATTATTAAATTTTTATTGTTTGAGACACGATGCCAATTTTATTTATACTTTTTATGTGACTGAGAATGACAAACAAGCTTTATTAGCTTGTTTTCTAGTCTCTGTTTAAGGAATTGATAAGGGAGATCCAATAGAATAGAATACTTTATTTGCTTTGAATAGGTTGTAACAAAAGTTCTTATTAAATAAATAAACAGTTCCATATTCAGCCAATATTATAATATTAGCATGCGAGTTATAATTTAAGTATTTTTTTTAATATGATTACTGATAATATGTAATATATATAAAATTCGTGTTTCCTAAAACGCAAAATCTATTCGTTTATACCACTTTTATCGGGAAATAATATTGCAGCATGCAAGTTATTTATTACACACAAGATTCTGGTACTACAGATTATGCAGAGCTGGAATTTGGATGTTGCAATTTTTTTTATTTTACACCTTTGTAAAGATATGGTTTTAATGTGTCCTCTATTATTTGGATATCATCCCATTCTTGCCGATTTCCATTATAGTTGTATAATGGTATATTTCATGTTGCATTAGTAAAAATATTGAATGGACTTGCAGTTGAAACGTCTCTGATCATATAAAATCTATGAATATTTACTTTGTAAACACATATCTGCAGTGTTTTAATATTTATATTCGGAGAAAAACTAAGTATATAAACAGTATATCGGAAAGTTGAAATTACAAATTGGTTTGTAGTTTATTTCCAGTGGAAAGATTTTAAGGATCATTCAAAAATAATTTTATATGTAAAGAATTTGTATTCTATATGATTTTAGTACTGTTTCTATGGGTTATGAACATGATTCGCCTGTATGTTCCATGATGTTTTTGCTGATTTTTATTATTCCTTTTGCAATTATTACTTTCATATTGGTTTAAATTTTGTCACTACTAAAGTAACTGTACATAAGGGTAGAGCCCTTTGGCACTTTGTTCTTTCTGCCTATGAAGGTAAGTGAAGTATTTGGCATTTTTATACAATCATCATCATCTTCCTACCCTTATCCCAATTATTTGGGGTCGGTGAAATATGATTTTATCCATATTACAAAAAGATTTGTTTTTTTTAATTTTACGACCGCCTGCCTGACGTCAACCCTCTTTGGGAATCTAAAATATTAAATTTTTATGATATTTATTTTCTACGTCGGATATTAGAAATTCTAATATGGCCGCATAATTTTTATTTAATTCCCGTTACTAATAGCGACCTAGTTCTAAAGATATTGTTAGTGTATCCCCTTGTGCAAAAGTAAATGGAATTAGTTGCGCATGCCGTTCTAATTTTGGCATCACGAACATTATTTCCTCTCCTAAGACCTCATTTTGTATCCAACCTACCTCTGTAATTACTTTATCATCATGGTGAACGAATACGCACTCAGAGGAATTCTTTAGATCATATTTCCTGATTATTTAGTTCATTAATAGGTCGAAAATAATAACAATTTATGGTATTCTAAGAAATTACGCCGTTGGAGTTCTCCGTTATAATTATCTGATATTTATTATAGGTATTTATAAATAGAAACATCAATTACTATCAATTATCGTTTCTTTGTCAATATAGCAATTGTTGACCTCCAATCTTTTTGGAAAATATGACTTACAAGTTCTTACTCAGTTAGTATTTGGAGCTAATTATGCAGAAGACAGTAATCACTTGTGAACGTCTTAGGAAACGTGGCTGCATATGATATGCTTTCCTGCATATCTAGTTTCAATTATTGTTATTTGAGTAATATTTTTTCCCGTTTGCTTCCACAAATTTTTTTATTTGTGAAATATTCTTTCCCCTCTCACCGTACTGGTTACTCTTCAAACTCTTTTCTCCTACATTCTTCACGACTCTGGAACGCGCTTCCTGATGACATTAAGAGACTACCGACTAAACCGTCTTTCAAAAAAAGCGTTCACGCTCAATCTTATTATCTCTTTTTATCTATCCCTTTTTTCAATTTCCGATTATCTGAAAATGTGCTTTGAAATTTCATATTAATTCTCAGAGGATTATATTGCATTGCGTGTGATTCATCCCTTAAGGGGGTCTTCCTATGTGATGGGTTGAAAAAATCGATTTTTTTTTTCATAAATTGCTCCCTTAACATGTCTAGAATACGGTAGTAAAGCGATTTTAGAAAATTCGAAGTCGTTTTAAAGATACAGCAGGTAAAAGGAAGAGCGGTTCGGAGCGCTGAGTTGGCAGTTAGAGCCCGGGCCTATTGTGTACCGTCGGCTTTATACGTGGCCTCCCTTTTATTCATATATCCGTTTATACAAGTTTAGACACGTTTCTACAGACTTAAACAGAAATTTCTATTGTTATAATATTTTACCGAAGTTATTTTAGTCTTGGTTGAACTTCGAAGAGAGCAACAGCTACAAATTATTTTTTTTCATAATGAGTGGACGGAAAGGAAGTACGAGTGAAAATGTTCATCCTGGTCGTAGTAAAAAAAGAAAGTTTAGTGGAAACCGTTTTACCCACCAAAATGATACGGTATTTACATCAGCTTCGGCCAATAAACTTAAAAATAACATGAACATGGAGGTTCCCATCGCTTCGAATTTCGCATATTGCATTTTGGAGTTTGTTTCTGTATTTGCTGCAATCTCTGAAATAGTTATATGTAAAACTTGTAAAAGTGACGTGTCTATTTCGCGATCAAGTTTCCGAGGCCTAGGCTTTAAAATTATTTTATCGTGTGAGTGTGAAAAACAGACAGTTATAAACTCAGGCCCGTTGATCGGAAATGCATTTGAGGTTAATCGTCGGTTTGTATTTGCGATGCGATTATTGGGAGTTGGTCAAGAAGGAGTAAATCTTTTCTGTAGCTTTATGGACATGTGTTCGGGTGTTGCAAATTCTACTTATACTGCACTACTGGAAAACATTCATATTGCTACATCTTCACTGTGTGATACTTTATTGGCATTCGCTGTTACGCAAGAAAAAACTATGAATGAAAAATCAGGAAAACCACAGGATGAATTGACTGTGTCAGGTGACGGTACTTGGAAGAAAAGAGGCTTTTCATCTCTGCTTGGCGTATCTACGTTGATCGGCAAGTACACTGGGAAAGTTTTAGATGTCATGGTCATGAGTAGTTTTTGTGGTGGATGTAATTTGTGGAAAAAAAAAAAAAACAAATCCTTTAGAATACGAAATGTGGTATGAAACGCATGTAGATGAATGCACCATAAACCATTCCGGAAGTTCCGGTAAAATGGAAATAAGTGCCATCACGAAAATGTTTCTGAGGTCTGTAGAAAAATATGGCGTAAAGTATCTAACATACATTGGCGACGGTGACAGCAAAACTTTCAAGGGGATCCTAGATACTAAACCGTATGGAGATACTGCGGTAACAAAAAAAGAATGTGTGGGTCACGTAGAAAAGAGGATGGGAACACGACTTCGGGCTGTTAAAAAGGATAAAACCAATAAAGGAATAGGAGGAAAAGGAGCAGGTAAACTTACTGATAAAGTTATCCAAGAAATTACAAAATTCTACGGATTAGCAATTCGACGCCATCCAGATTCGCTTGAAGATATGAGAAAGGAAGTTTGGGCAACGTACTATCACAAATGTTCTTCTGATCAAAACCCTCAGCATCAATTTTGTCCAGAAGGCGAAGACAGTTGGTGTAAATGGCGTAAGGCTGAAGCTAATAATGAACTGGACCAATTTCATCACGATAAACCACCTCTAATTCCGCAAGTCCAAGAAGCTATCAAACCGGTTTTCGAAGATTTATCGAAAGACGAATTATTAATTCGTTGTTTAGGAGCAGAGACACAAAACAATAACGAATCTTTGAATTCTTTGATTTGGACTTTCGCTCCTAAACATCTTCATTCTGGTCCCAAAATTGTTGAAATTGCTAGCTACTTAGCAGTTATTATCTTTAATGAAGGTTTTCAAGGTATTTTAAAAGTTATGTCGATTATGGGATGCCCTGTTGGTCGTGAAGCCCAAGCGTATGTTGAGAAACGGGATGAAAAGCGAATCTTACGTTCTGAGCGGCGCGTAAGTGATGTCGTTAAACAAGCCAGGATTGACTCAAGAGCTGAACAATCTGCTTTAAAAGAGTTTCACGAGGAAGAGGAAGGAATACTCTATGGACCAGGCATCGCCGATTGAGAGTAAGTTGATATTTTAATAGTTTTTAACGGACTTGAAACTTTAAACGCGTTTTTCTCAAAACTGTGTTTTTCAAACTTTCCTCCATTGTATCTCAGAAACGGCTGGACCGAATTACTTGAAATTTACAGGGCACACTCAATATATGTAAACGCATGGAATGAACTATTATCAATCGAAAATTTTCAAAACTTCGATTTTTTTATAGCAAAAAACAAAAAAAAAACGCCTAATTTGCAACTTTTATTTCAAATGTCTATCAAAAATCCAATTTTTTTTATATTCATTTGATTATAGGTCATTCCGTGCTTTTAAGCCTACAAATTAAAACGCCGTTTATTTTTTTTTTTTCAGATAAGCCGATCAGCCGGAATCGTGGAGGAAGTGGGAGCTCTTTTTTTCGAGGCGGGGGTGTTCAGAGCGCTGTAACTCTAGTTTGACTGAATATTTTTAGCTGAAATTTTATATTTATACTGTCCAAATATGTATTAATAAATGATAAAAAACTTGAAGCTCTAAATATTTACTGGTCGTAGAAAAAAAATCCTAAAATATCCCTAAAAAACAGGCCGTCACATAGGAAGACCCCCTTAAATGACTTTCACTCGTTCTTTTAAATGTTTTTTTAATTCTTTTACTGTTCAAGTTGTTTTTGGAACATACTATCTTTTTCCTTTTGATTTCATACAATCTCTTGTCTCGTTATGAAATAAATTACATTATCATTATCTATTTCTATACAGTTTCGTTTTTTTTTTTTTTGCGTAATCTTATTTTATGGGGTATTACTTTGTAACGAACATAAAATTACTTTCAAATTATTACATCTCACCCAAAAGGTTCCTCGAAAAGGGCGCAATAAGATATCATAAGGTACCCACGTTACGCATTCGTCACTTCTCTGATGCTGAAGATGTTCTTAGGGCACCATAATCATTTACTATCAGATGGGTCGCATGCTTGTTTGGCATTACAGTTGTATTAATAAGTCTCACAGCTTTGGAATCTAACAGTCATCTGTGTAAATGTAGATTTACGAACGGTTGATATTCAACAAGCAGACTGTTAGGTAGATGATCCATAAATCACGCGCGCCCTTGAAGACATAAAAATACAGTTCTGAAAAACGATAAAAGGTCTGTTCCGCAAATATTAATCGTCAAGGTTTGTAAAAATAGAAACTTTAGGTTGTGGAAGCTGTAATAAAATCATTATGGTGCTTCTTTCAGTCTTCGACTTTGGTTTTATGTTTAATTTCCTAATGAAATATTATATTTATTTAAGTGAATTGGGGTGAGAGGGAAATGCGTTGTTTTGAAAAGAAACCATATTGTTACACCCACGTTCGATGTCTCACTAGTTCACGTAGTAACTTAAATTAACACAAGTGCCTGTCGTGTTAAAACATTAACTTAATGTTGATAATGCGAGATACGGCTTTTGATTGAGTGGTTCGAGTTGTGGAAAATGTGCTTCGCGAATTATTCTATCATAATGTATCAATTTGTTCTGGTAAAAGTTTTTTTTTTTTTATCCGGGATATAAATTTATGCATATTTCGTTACGTGTATTCTTTTATTTAAATTAGGTTTAAAATATATTATTTCGTGTGAAAATTTGACAATTTTGTGATGGCATTCTGAGATATACAAAAGATTGCCATGACTGTAACAGTTATTGTTGGATTTTCATATTTGTTGATTGCAACAATCTAGCCTAATTAATTCTTTTCCATTATTGAATGGGAAATACGTCAGTAATCTTAGTCTACTTCAATCAAATTTTTAGAGAATTACGTAAATATATGCTTTGGTATTTTTTTTTTGAGAAAAGCTGCAATTTTAACACGAGTCCATCAAATATACTTTATATGCTTTATATCATGTAAATTCTCGTTCGTATCTTTAAAATAGAAAATAGGACATATGTGAGGTGCTAACCGTTTTATGGTTATGGTGATCGCCAATGTGATAGTTTTATGTCCACTTTGGTATTTCTTTCGGGTTGTAAAATTTTGATGGTCTAAAAATTCTTCACTAAGCATAAAGTAGTTTGTAAGATTTTGGGTGGCAATTTTATAACGGTATACTGCTATTAACGTGATGAAAAGATCAAGCATGTTACTAAATACATCAATAATATCTGTAGAAAAGTGTCGTCAATTTATTATGAGCATTGTAGAAATTTGAAAGTGAACTAGCCTAATCATTTTATGAAGATCATTTGAATTGTCAATTTATTTTTTCTGAAACTAAATATTTGTACTTTAATTAGAATGTTGTTATAAGCTATGAGATTTCTAAACCGTATCAAATGCTGTCGGATGCTGAGAACGGAACAAATCTGTGAAACGATCGATGTGACGGTTTTAAAGATTTCACAATTATCGTTTAGATGAGACCGATCCGTAGTAGATGTACTACGACTGAGAATTATTAAATGGTATGTAGCATAATTAGCGGATGACGCGAAGAAACTAGTTTCAATATTATAGTTATCCTCGTCTACAGTTTTATCATTTTCACTTATAGGAGACATTGAAAAATGTATGAGTACTGTGCAGACTAATAATTAATTAGTGTATATATAATAAAAGTTGACCTCCGATCTATGAAAAATATTTGTATTGGCTTAAGTTGCCAGTAAATGAAATTCTGTTCATTTGTCAAGGTTATTCTTTTTGTTCTGACATGATAACCATCTGTTATTTATTTTCTATATTTATTATATGTGTTATTATATGTCCATTTACTCTTCAATCTTAAAAGTTAGGTACCTTTTATCGTTAGCCTAAATGTCTAAATTAACAATTACAGTTAGCGTTGCAACTTTTTTAGTTTCTTTAATTTTTAGTTTAGAATTTTGTCCAACGTTATCAAAAAGTGTAATTTCGTAGTTAATTTTAAAAATTCATTCTCTCTTATTCTTATATTTATTGTATTCTTTCTTTCTATTATATATCATATTTTATCTCAATAATTCCGTCTGTTCTAAAATATTTATCTGTCGAGAGAATATCGCGAAGAAATATTGAAATTATCCCGTTTTCCACCAATACATTTGTCAACTGTCAATTATGTACGCGTTATGTCACACGAAACCTATCGAACATGTCATATTTGGTGGATTTATCTGTTGACAATCTGCAATGACGTCACGAGCGGCCGCAAATATACGTCGCATACTAAACAAACGATCGAAAGCACGACATTGGTTGTTTGGTGGTACCCGCGTTTTTGTGGCGTCAAAGACTCTAATACGATGCGTCACCTGTTTGGCAGCCACCAAACAGATTTACAGATAACAGTAATGTTGTCAAACATGAATTTCTAAATGTACTGTACTTGCCAGAATTTGAAGAATTCCTTGGACATCGTAAAGATAAGACTGATATAAAGCAAAATAAACTGGAATATATTTTAACATATTACCATATCAATAGTATTTTAATAGTGAATATTTATCTGAAAATAACATACCTTTTTTTTTAATTCGTTAAATTTTTTACGTAATAGATTATAACGTTTAATAGATTATATAATCGCTTCCAAATTGTCAATCTTAAGGTCAAAACCAAGATCTTTTAAAATCTATAAAAGACATTTAACTTTTCCCCTGTGTGATCCCGGCCTAGAATGGGCCACCCCTTTCTTTCCCGTGGATGTCATAAGAGGCTACTAAGAGAGCTTGATAGTCGAGAGATGGGCGGCAGTGTCCCTTTAAAAACATCACCAAACCTAACTGTGGTTACCAATTCGCTGGCCAAGCGTGCTAATTATTGGTAAAATCCTCCCAATTATGGGGAGGCATATGTTCAGCAGTGGACAGTTAACGGCTTATACGCTGCATATGGACTTTTAGATGTCTTCGAAAAGCTTTGCTTGCATTCTGGATTGGACACCTTATAATTCTGAGGTGGCACCGTTCATTCACTTTCTCTCATCTCCCCCTATATACGACTATGACCATACCTACATTAATTTAATGATTCACCTGTTTCAAGCTGTATGTACCTTCAAAAAATAAAATACGAAAATTTTATAAACTAAGCGTCATATCATAATTTGGCGGCCATGTTTGGCAGCTGTCGAATTTGACGTGCATTAAAGCGGGAAACGATTGCGTCCATACACCATTGACCCATTCTCGCAGATTTATTCTGGTTCGTCCGGTGCGTGTGTCCTTATAATTTTTTTATTTATTTAAAAACGTTTCGTTTCGCTTTAGTTGGCTTTGATTATTTTAAATTATTTATGGCGTTTTCTTTTTCGCTTTTCGGACGTCCCTTAAAAGATTGTTGATTTCTGCATATATTCAGTTTTATAGCTTTAGATGAGCTTTTTCTTTGCCGTGGGTATTGGAAGAGGTGACTAAGGGAACTCATGGTTGAGGGCTGAGCAGCAACATCCCTCTTAAAAGATCTCTAAAATCCGAATAGCTTTTACCAACTCGCCTGCCAAACGTGGCCTGCAAAATAACCCTTATAGGGGAGGCTATCTTCAGCGGTTGATATTTAATGACTGATACAATACAGTTATAGCCTTTATGTCATGCCATTCCTGAGAACCATAATAATAATAATAATTTCTCATGGACTTGACGAGAAGGTGAAATTCTCGAGAGGACAAAAGTCACCCATGCGCGCTATGTCTAACACAAATTCATTCCGATCCTTCATTGAAGACAGCGGCGTATTGATCAATGAGTAGATAATACAGAGCTGTATTTATAAGGCTTCCACAGCTAACAATTCCATTCATAGTTCGATTTCAATCAAATATATTTCTTATGTCCACTGCAGAAAGATCGTATTGTCTTCAAAATGGTTTCTTAAGAATCTAGTTTGTTCTACAAGGAAATGCTTGGCCTTTCTGATATCTATAAGAGCTTCTGTTTGCACATAATATAGGTATATCTTTGACCTTATTTAAAAAATAACTGTAGATATTGCATTTTTTATTTATTCTGGTTTAATATTTGACTGCATTGATTTTTTGTTTCGGTCGCGCTCATTCAGTAATAGAAAAAAATAGGTAAAGCTGATAACAACAATGAAGTTCTCATCGAAGGGTTGGTAGTCTAAGTTTCTTCACCTCTCACCCAACATGATCCTGATCCTCCAACTTTCTCCTGGAATTTGCCTTCATCTGTTTATACTTGTGACCATTCGTTATTTATATTTTCCTTGATATCATCTCTAGATGATAGGTTATCTATAACCTATTGTAACTATACTATACTATAGATTTTGTGTCTAAGAGATGGGTAAAGCAAGATTTCAACCTGTCAAGGTATCCTATCCTGAGTATCAGACGATCGATATGATTGTATGATTATTTATTAGAGAAACATACAATGCCTTGATCATATAAATAATTAATATAGTTGACTACGCAAATAATATTTGATCATGGGCACACGTGGTTTTGATGGCTCGGTAAATGAAACTGAACACTGGACACAACAAACTGAATTCACCTTCTGATTTATTTCTTGTAAAAAAAACAAAATACATAAGTATAATAATAATCAAAAATAAATGTGGTCAAAAAAAAGTTTATTTAAATAAAAAAAAAAAAATTAAATAGTCGTCAAGCTTACAATCGATTTTTGTTTTGTCCTTGTTATCTTTATATTTTGTATTGTTATGACACATGTACAAAATAAAATTGTACTTGGCTTTATGTATTTTTTGTAATCATTTATGTTATCTCGTTTTTGATGTATATGTATATATGTTATAATTTGTGTGCTGTAAGTAATGCGAATAAATTATCTATCTATTTATCTATCTTATAAAGAAAAATTAAATACACAAGAACAACAATCAATAATGATTATGGTCAATAAAGTTAATTAAATAAAAAATAAACAAATATAACAATTGTCTATGTTACAATTGATTTTTGTTTTGTCATTTTTATCCTTACAAAGACAACTCCGATAGTTCTATTAATATCTGATGCGCACATACGTAATGATAAAATTCCATTAGATGTAATATCTAAGTGAACGTATGCCTCACTAAAAGATTCGTTTAATCAATGGAAAATTGTGAAGAAAGGTCACTTTTGTGTCGCGTAATTGAAGCGAACGTTCTAGAGAGGGAATACGAGTAACACACTTGAAAAGGGTTTCGCTCAGTCCAATACGTTCGTAGAGAGGAAATGTTGACGAGATGCTGGGGTAGGGGATTTGTTAATCCTTTATAAATCAGAGATTTAGACAAGTGGCAAGCGGATTCGTTGATGGAATCGACTTCGCTAGCGAGTCCGTGAGATAGAATGAGTTAGCAACGCCGGGTGACTCATTCTAACTTTCAGACTCGCTAGCGATGTCGATTCCATTGATGAATTTGCTTGTCACTTGTCTAGAGGGCCAGTGATGTCGCTGAAATTTCTGTAGTGTAAAATTCATTAAAACTATCGCAATTAGCTCCTACGGGCAAATGCAATGTAGGACGACCCCCACATTAGATGGAGTTTTTTTTTTTTTTTTGGTGGATGAAAATGGAATGGTAACCCCGCCTGCGCTAACGGGATACGCTGGCGTAGCAGTGAAGGGTAATTAGATGAGAATGAAAACAGGTCAGTTAGCCCATCATGATGAATTCATCAGGAATTAACCATGATAGTTTCCAGGGAGAACCACGAGGAGGTCGATCTGGTTGGGTTTATTGCTAGCAACGGGATTTTTAGTCTCCATTACTAACAATCCCTTTCCCCCCCATTAGATGGAGTTATGCAAGGAGTTAATGAATGCAAGTGGTTTGAGAGGGTTTCTTGTGGCAGTTACGGGGGAGGCCTATGTTCAGCAGTGGACAGACAAAGGCTAATATGATGGTGACGATAAACTAGCTATTCGTGGGCTATATATGTACTTTTACGGTTGTAAGGTTGCTTATCACGGTTTCGTCAACGCGGGATTCCTAATTTTTTCCGTAGGAAGTGTCTAGATCCCGACTTTGTATACCGGTGTCGGACTATATAAAATTAAACTGCATCGGATACCTCTGTCCCATTCTCATAATTATACATCAAGCAGTGCTTGCACGACTGTTTTGGTTTGAAAATATAAACTAGTAAAGTTATTGTATGTATAATATATTAGTAGTTAGAAAAGTTTAAATATTAGAGGTATATGTTGTATGTATGTAATATTAAAAGATATTCAACCGATTTAAAAAGAAAGGAAAAAATCTCAAATTGGTTTTTTTTAGATAACTCTGTTAATTATTAACTGATTAGGAAAAATCTTCTTTATTTTTTTGATAAAATTGATATGGAGCTTTTGGACTTTCAGTATAGTTCCATATCAATTTTATCAAAGCCGGTTCAGTATTTTAGTTTTTAAATGAAAACAACCGGTTGAAATTGTTTGTTTTGTGGAAAACAATTTTTGGATTTTATTTATTTATTTATAAATTACTCACCACACTTATTGTATCCCAAAACGTGTAGTGAGCCATAGGTTTATTTTACAAACTTAAAAATTTTTAACAATATTTTAAAAATATATACATACATACATACATATCTGTCACGCCTGTCTCCCATTAGGGTAGGTAGTAAAAATATATCTATACATCAAATTATTTCCAAAGAGACACAAGTTGAAATACGAAAAAGAAATTAGATTTATTCATAGCAGGACTCAAACACTCAAGGTTTTTGCATGTTTTCAGTTTGTTTTTTAGAACACAGAAAAGCTAATATATTTTTTATTTCACTCTGTACATAAATATTGAAAGGAATGGTAACGCATGAGGGGTATCATGGGCGAAACAGTATACTCTGTTATGTCCATGGTACTGCTCATGTCTATAGGCGACGGTTACCACTTTCCATCAGGTGGGCCGTCGGCTTGTTTGCCATTTTAAGTTGCATAAATTTATTAACCTATATATATTTAACCTATTTTTTTAATTCTCATTTGAAAACTAAACTACTTAATCGATTTAAATAAAATTTCTATAAGGCTAATCTGTAAGTATTTATATAAAAGCATAATTTTCCAAATGTTTCCACCTGACGGAGTTATTTCATTATATGAATTGAGAACCCCTTTTTTGAAGTCGGTTGAAAATAGCTACTACGCCCTTGGCAATTTGCAAACAAGCGCAAAACAAGCTGGAACGCCACAACCCATCGTTACACTATAAGCATGTTATGGTTGCCATATCTTTATATGTTTTATCTTTTAAGGCGGGGCTGTGTACACACACCCCGTGACGTAAATAGCACACCTTGAGTCCACGTTGTGTTGCGTAAATTAACTCCGTCGTAGTTTTTCTTTTACGGAGTCATTGGCAAATAACCCACCTACCTACATGATTTTTTTTATACAACTTAGAATGGCAAACAAGCTGACGGCCCACTTGATGGAAAGTGGTATCCGTCGCCTATAGACTTGACCAGTATCATGGACATAACAGAGTATACTGTTTCGCCCATGACACCCCCCATACGTTGCCATTCCTGAGGACTCAGGTGTTATTCCTCTGTACCCAGTAAATTCACGCCATATTCCACCCTTCAAATCGAAACACAGCCATGCAAACACAGCTGCTTCACGGTTGAAATACGAATGGGACAGAGGTACCCAAGCAATCGACTTTTGTACAAAGTCTCCCTCTGGTGACTCATGATACAGTGCAGCTATTGTTCATTGCAACAAATTTGAACATTTTTCTGCAACGTTTCATTTTTCTTTTTGGTCTGCATCTACACACCAAAAAGATGTAACAATGACTTATTCCATCGTAAATAGAATGAGATATAAACTAGAGAGAAACTTTGTACAAAAGTAGTTTTATTTTAATGAGTAATAATGGAATGGTAACGCCGCCTGCGCTATCGGTATACACTGGCGGGGCACCAGTGAGAGATAACAGACAGGTGCGGATGAAAGCAGGCCAGTTAGCCCATCTCAGAGAGAGCTCACAGCATCTTCAGTGGATTTACCACGGCGAAAGCCAAACTGTGCGTCTGAGAAAGCTCTGTTTGTTTCAAGGTATTTGACTAATCTTTTGTTTACGATTTTTTCTAAAAGTTTGGAGAAAGTAACCAACAGAGATATTGGACGGTAATTATTTACTGAATTTTTATCTTCGCCCTTGTGTATAGGAGTAACAGTGGCGATTTTCCATTGATCAGGAAATTCACCGGAAGCAATACTCAAATTGAAGATCGCAGAAAGAGGCTCGTTTATATATTGTCGAACTGTTTTTATCAGAGTATTTGCAAGTCCATCAATACCAGGTGCACTTTTTTCATTAAGTAATTGTATGAAAGAAGAAACTTCGAATGGATCAGTTGGTTGGAAATAAAAAGAATGAGGAGATGGATTTGAAAGTTTCACTCCAGATGCCAGAGAGTCTTGTGTTTCATTTAATAGTGACATAGTTGTATGAGCAAGGTTTTGACCGACAGTTGCGAAAAAGGAATTACAATAATTGAGGGATTCTACTGGATCACTTTTTATTGTAAGTAGATTTTTTGCAGTACTCTTTTTAGTATTTTTATGAATTATTTTATTAATACTATTCCAAAGAGGTTTAGGTTTATTTATATTTTGCTGAATTAATCCACTTTCGTACTCCCTTTTCAAACGTCGCAGTAGGGAATTATAAAAATTTCTATATTTAATATATGTAGACTTCTTTATCGGATTGTCAGGATGTTTACGTGAATCAGAGTGAAGTTTATCTCTGCGTTTGGCACACCTGAGCAACCCTGGGGTCATCCAAGACTCTTTAGTGTATTTAGAGTGACTAACTTTATATGTGTGAGTGTGTTTTTTTACAATCTTCATGAATATATCCGTGAACAAATCAGTGGCCTCATTTACAGAAGTACTATTAAGAATCTCCGTCCAATCCACACAAGCTAACTCTGTCTTTACAGCTTCATAATTAGTTTTTTCTCTTTGTCTTTTATTAGAAGATGGTTTTTGTAAAGAGTTATCCATTCCCAACATGATAGGATTATGGTCGGTAATATCAGCAGAACATATGATGGATTCATAGCCACCATAGTTACGAATGAAAAAATGATCCAGACAGGTTTTGTTATGAGTAGGTTTGTTGACAGCACTTGAAAGTCCCAGTTCGGCCATCAAGCACAAATACTCTGAAGATAGTTCATAAGTCTTGGATGTATCAGCTATATCAATGTTTATGTCTCCAGTGATAACCAAACAAGGACCCACAACGAGAGTCTTGAGGTTAGACTCCAAAGAGCTCAGAAATCCATTTGAATTGCTAAAACTTTCAGACGGGGAGCGGTAGATGCCAAGTATTGATAAATGTTTGGATATAGCTACCAACAGGGAATTTGCTCCTTCAATATCGATTTCGACTACTTTTGGGGAAAATATGTTGCTAATGTAAATAACTACGCCACCTGCTCTGTTTATATATTTCGATGTTTTGAAGGCTGTGTATCCAATGATGTCCTTGATAATCGAATTTTCATTTAACCAACACTCGGTAAGAATTATAGCATCAAATTTAGTATCCAGCCGAGTAAGGAGTATTAAAAAATTGTCAAAATTTCGCTGTAGACTCCTTATATTAAATGTAAGAATTTTGGTATTATACTTTGCGAGTATGGTTTTGCTTTCGTCCGGGGATTTTAAAGTATGGCTTTCTTTTTCTATGGCTTCGTCAATTTCTTGTATGATGTCGTAGGATGCCATATCTATATAAGACACATAGTATAATAAAAGAAGCTGGAAACCTGAGGCCATACTTATGACTGAAATATAATACTTTTGTATTTTTATGTATATAAGAAATTATATCCTGTGGTAGTGCAGTAGAAGTAACGGTACAGTAAGTATACTGTTGTTGTGTGTAAGATTTTTGAATGAGTATTTGAGTGTGAGCTATAACATTACACTTACAATAGCGAATATTGGTGAGTAGATAATTAATAATGAAGCTATGGTTACAAATATTATAAAAAATCAGCAAAAGCAAATACATGCAACACAATTCTAGCAATAGTATTACTCTGATAATATTAAATAGTTTCCCATGTAAAAACATAAAGCATACTGAACAAAAGCACAATGATACATATGCGCGACAAGCATTCCGCACAAGCACAGCAGACTTAGTAGAGTTTGGCTGTAAACTCATCGGCAGTAGCGATAGCGGTTTCTTTAGCCCGCAGGTTGACTGGGCACTTGCAAAGCAGGTCATCGTAAGAAGCAATATAGACAGCAGGTTTACCTGTACGTTTGCGAACATATATTGAACCATTCCTTGTCCAACAGTATTTGAAATCAGCCTCCTTTGCACGTATTCTGGCATCGCGAAATAACTGTCGATTGGCTCTAGTAAGGCGCTCATTTATAAATATTTTCCGCTCAGGACTATTCAAAACGATGTCCTTACTATTCAAATCACGACGTGATTTGGCGGCCCTCAGAAAGTCCTCTCTTATCGCCTTGCGAGTAAAACGGACTACAAGTGGACGTGGAATTTTATTTTCTTTCCCATCTCCGTCAGTACGGCGAAATCCGGTTCGAGCAACGCTATCTATGTCACCCTCTGTCATGTGTATTCCAATTTTTGAGGCAGTGACTAGAGTCAGATGATAAGGATTTTCATTGTTGACTTCTTCTAGTCCGATAATTTCGACCTCACTACCAAGAGACGATTGCGCTTGAATGTCTAATTGCCGTTGCAACTGCTCAACCGTTTGTTTTAGTTGGTCACATTCCCTTTGACTATCCTCTAGAGACTGTAGACGGGCTTCTGTGTTAGTAAGCTTGTCGACAATATCATCCAAGCGAAGGTGGCAACGAGCCACGGCGGCAACCACTTCCGACAATTCATTTTTAAACTCTGTCATCGTTTCCCGAAGGAGACGCATTTCGTTAACTATTGAATATGTATCATCGTCGTTTGATTGGTCACCGTTTCTACGCGTTGCCTTGCGGATGGTGACGTTACTTGGAGATGCAGTGGAGCGTACCGGGGTCGAGGAGTTATCTCCGCCTCTTTTTGCAATAGCCTTGCAGTCAGGGCAGATCCATGACTTTACTGATTCCAGCGGTAGATTTGTGGCATTAGTACATAGTAAATGAAATTTTTTGTGACAGCGCTCCACTCTGCATATGATGAAATCGTCATCTCGAATTACCTCTGGGCAAGCGGCGC